GAAATAAAGCCTTTTGATCAAGCCCGAGTAGAAAAAATAACAGTTTTTTTGGTATCGGTAGTTCTTACTATTGCTTTCCTGGCTACTGATATTTGGCTTACATATGTGATGAGCTCTTTAGCTTGTAAGTCTAAAATGCTAACCTCATTATATAGCATTTTATGTACTGCAGATGTTGTATCTCATACCTAACAATACGAGTGACGGTTAGAAAAAAATAGAATGATTGAAGCCAATCCGAATTAAAGACTTATAAAGGGTGAAAATATTTGGAATGTGGCAGTTGTGGACAATATAGACTTTAAAGAAAGTACGTTTAGATTTGGAAATATCTATGATACTACTCATAATACTTCTCACGCTACATTACGATTAGTTTTTCAGTTTACTTTACCAGTACTACTTCGTTCTTTAATTACTGCAGATTTGCAAACTGAAATTAAAAATAATGATACCAATACCAGTTTGTTTGGCGAATCTGAGTTTATTAAAATTCAATATTCTAAACATAATATTATTTTTAATGAGTTGGTTGAATTATACTCAAATAAATGGGATATTGATAGTGTATATTATAAGCTTACAAAAGATATACCTTTAGGGTGTCAAATTCCACCTTCTAATCTCGTTATTCTCAAATCGGGTGAAAATTCAAATTGCGATTTAAATGTACATAATTCTTGTAAAATGTATTTTAATGATTTTCAAGTATCAGAAAATGAAACTTTATATATAGCAGCCGATGAGGCCATTTTTCGCAAATTAATTTCATATCGTGATTCAAAAAAAGATGAATTAGTTCGATTACTTTTAGGTCAGTGGCATACGTCGAAAGCAATGTGTGCTACTTTGATAACAATTTTTTCGGGGTATGGGATTTTTGACTTAGCAGCTGATCTTGGGGTTTGTTACTTGGATAAACTTGAGAAAGTTGTTGATTATGATGCAACTTTCTATGTTTTGGAATTAATTTGGATGGCGGTGGGAATTGCACTAACTAGATATGCAAAACATAAAAATATAACATTAAATGATATTGAAAAGGAAAGTAGTATAGTAAAAGTTTGGTTTCTTTATTTTTGTTGGATGGGATATGTGATTAATCATAAAATAGGAATACGGTGGGCTAATTTTGATTTACAATATTATTCACTTTCGGCATTTGCTCCTCTTTTTTCAGTTGCTGGCAAAAGCAATTATGCTCGATCAACAACACATTATTTAGCTCAAATCGCCAATGACCCTCTTTTACAACAATTATTTCGTTATGCGTGTTCAGTAAATCTTACACGCCCAGGTTACTATTTAGCTTTAGATGAAGCATTGGAGGTTTTTGGTGTAAAATTTATTAAACAAAACATTAAATTAAATATAATGGATAATGAACAACTTAAATTGCTAATCTCATCAATTCAATCCGAAAGAGATAGAATACAAATGCTTTTATCTGATTATATAGGAGAAATAATTACAGTTGCTATAAATCGTAGTATACAATCACGAAAAGATGTAATATGGAGAGTTGCTGATAACTTAACTGTTGCATTTCAATTATCCGATCCAACGACTCATAAACTTTTTTCAAATGCAAAGGAGATAAATGAAACAGGATTTTTACGTATTTCAACATGTTATACAAAAGAAATAAGTAGGTTAAATTCTATCTATCGCCAAGAAATTTTAAAAACTGAAAAGCTAGATGTTAAAGGTCGAAGGGGGC